CAGCCGGGCGCGGCTGCTCCGGCGCTTCTGCAGGTGTAAGCGCGGTGCCCGCTGCTGGGGGGTTGTGCTGGGTCTTGGTGCGGGGCTGAGGAGCATCTGGTGGCCCCGGGGCGGCTGCCGAGGTTCCGGTGCGGGTGTGTTAGTTGTACCTGGCTTCGGAGGTGTTAAAGCGGTGCGCCTTAAGATCCCGGTTCGATCTGAGTAGTCTCAAGAGAAGAGTTTTGAGTTGGACCTTTAAGGGTGATTTTGTTCCCGCCCACCTGCGTGAGCAGGGACACCTCCCAGTAGAGCAGGTTCCTCCAAGCCTCATCCCTCCTGGCCTTCCAGAGGTGAGGTATCCACAGCTTCCCTGGGCCTGTGTCTCACAGTGGCTGTCAGGAATTTCTTCCTAACACCTGGTCTAAACCAGGGGCCTTGCTGAAGTTAGTCAAGGGCGTTTGGAAGTTCCTAAGGAGAATATGAAACAAGCTTTGTAGGTAACGCTCAGCAAAAGTACTAACTTCTCAAACAAGCACTTGTTACGCTGTTTTATTTCATTTTAAGGCTCCTACCAGCTGCTCCCAACCTCTTGAATACTTTTTTCAGCTGTTTTCTCAGTTGCGACTGAAGGAAGGCTGGGGCTTTGGCTTAGGTGTGTGAGTGACATCTGTGTGGTGTTCGTGTGTTTTGGGGCTTATAAACACAGGCACCAAGGTGAATTTTGATGGGTAGATCTTAGAAATCAGAAATGATACCTCTAGATATGATTTATTAATAAACTGAAGCAAACTGTTAAGCTTCACTGTACTTTTCTTCCCTTATTGCTCCGCTTGATTTTGAAGATACTTTGAATATAAAGCAGTATGAGAACCATGGCTTTTTATGCTTTTCTTAAAAACATAAAATAATGCAGGTTTAGTGTTGCTGCACGTTCTGTCAGAATTATAGCTTAAGCAGAAATGCATTTTTTCTTCTCTGTATCTCTAGTGCTGGTCAGTAACACTACACTAGTGAGTTTCTTCCAAAGGTGAAATGAGTTACAGTTCAATGTAATATTCCTACTCTATACCCCTAAATATTGCTGATACATCTGATACAGTAAAAATACAATTGAGTAGAAGATTCCAGGTTTATGAAATAGAAGACTTGGTGTTGGTCAGTAAAATTTTGATATTGACCTACTTAAAAATAATAGTACATGCATTTATCTCTGTTAGATTTATTTTGAAGACAGATAGAGTTTGTGATCTTCTTGGGAGAACAGAGAATGTAGGGGAACAATCTATAAATTTTCTATTGGCATCATTCTGAAAATGCTCCTAGCAGATACTCTACAAAATCTATTGCCAATCTATAAACCAAAGTGTGTCTCTGTTACAGGTTTTAATGTGCTTATCATATGGAAAAGAGTAATTTTTGAAACTTGTCAAGTGAATATATATGGTCAAAGAGGATGTTGATCTAGTTTGTGGACATAAAAAGCTGCATATTGGATGGACATCATGAGTTTGTTGTCTTCAGTCAGCCATGCTGTCACAGAATCTGAATGGTGAGCTCCACTTCTGTATTTTTAAGTCTAGTAATATGGTTAATGTTGTTTGTTGTTGTTGTTGTTTTGTTGGGGTTTTTTTGCTTTATTTTCTAAATCCCTGTAATTCAGACTGAAGAAGAACCAGATGTGGTGTGGTGTATGCACATTCTGCCATTTCTATTTAGTCATTAGATGAAAGGAATTACTTGAGGGTGTGAATACTGGCCATCTGATCTGCAAGGATTCTCACACAACTGTAGCAGACATGACTTAGAGTCAGAGGGAGTTCTGTCTGCACTTAGGAATGCTGACCTGGAGTTTCAGAATGGTTTTCTGCATTAGCTGAGGTGGTAGAGGTTGGCTTTAAGTCTTGCATGTGGCTCTTACATTTTGCAATATAATAATAGAATATGCTGAGTTGGAAGGGACCCATCAGGATCATCAACTCACCAGTGCTGTGTACAGGGGGAGGATTACATCCCTGCTCCTGCTGGCCACACTATTCCTGATACAAGCCAGGATGCCATTGGCCTTCCAGGCCACCTGGGCACACTGCTGACTCATGTTCAACTGGTACTCCTTGGTCCCTCTGCTGGGCTGCTCTCCAGCCACTCTTCCTCCAGCCTGTAGTGCTGCCTGGGGTTATTGTGGCCAAAGTGCTGGATCCTGCACTTTGTCCTGTTGAATTTCATGCCACTGCTTTTGGTCCATCAACCCAGCCTGCCCAGATTTTGCTGCAGCTTCTACCTACCCTCCAGCAGATCGACACTCCACCCCAGCTTGGTGTCACCTGTGAACTTACTGAGGGTGGACTCAATCCTCATTCACATCCAGGTCATCAATAAAGATGTTGAATAGACCTGGGCCCAGTACTGATCCCTAGGGGACACCACTGGTCACCAGATGCCAACTGGATGCAGCTCCATTCACCATCAACCTCTGGGCCTGGTCATCCAACCAGTTTTTAACCCAGCGAAGGGTGCACCTGTCCAAGCCATGGATTGTTAGCTTCTCCAGGAGGATGCTGTGGGAGACTATGTCAGAGGCCTTGCTGAAGTCAAGGTAGACCACATCCACAACCTTCCCCATATCCACTAGTTCAGTCACCCAGTCATAGAAGGTGATGACATTAGTCAGCCAGGAGCTTCCTTTCCTGAACCCATGTTGGCTGGACCTGATCTGGTTGTCTTCTACATGTTGCTTGATGGCACTCAGGATGATCTGTTCCATAATCTTGCCTGGCACCAAGGTCAGGCTGACAGGTTCCCCAGATCCTCCTTCTGGCCCTTCCTGTGGATGGGTGTCACACTGGCCAACCTCCAGTCATCTGGGACCTCCCCAGGCAGCCAGGACTGGTGATAAATGATTGAGAGCAACTTACCTAGTTCTTCTGCCAGCTCCCTCAGCACTCTAGGATGAATCCCATCCAGACCCATGGACTCGTTGGGATCTAAGTGGCACAGCAGGTCCATAACTACTTCCTCCTGGATTACAGAAGGGGGATTCACCTCCCCATCCCTGTTTATCAACTCAGGAGCCCAGTTGTCCTGAGGGTAGCTAGTTTGTTTTTTTTTTTAAAGACTGAGGCAAAGAAGACGTTAAGTACCTCAGCCTTTCCCTTGTCCTCCATTACTAAGTTTCCCCCCCTTATCCAATAAGGAATGAAGATTTTCCCTGACCCTCCTTTTGTTATTAATGTATTTATAAAAGCATTTTTTATTATCCTTTACAGAGATGGCTCATTTAAGCTCTAGCTGAGCTTTTGCATCTCTAATTCTCTTTCTACATGACCTTTCAATATTTTCAAATACTTCCTGATTCACCAGTCCCTTTTTCCAAAGTTGACACACTCTTTTTTTATTTCTGAGCTCTTGTAATAATTCCCTGCCCAACCAGGCTGGTCTTCCCTGCTGACTCCTTTTTCAGCACATAGGGACAGCCTGTCCCTGCACCTTCATCATTTGTTCTTAAAGTAATCCCAGTCTTCCTGGGCTCCTTTGTTTTTGAGAGCTGCTTCCCAAGGGACTCTCCTACCCAGCATCCTGAAGAGACCAAAGTCACCCCTCTGGAAGTCCAAGGTAGAAGTTTTGCTGATGACCCTCCTAACTTCACCACATATTGAAAATTCCATCATATCATGGTGCCTGTGCCCAAGACGACTTCCAACCACTACATATTCCATTGGCCCTTCCCTGTTCATGAACAGTAGGTCCAGCCTGGCACTACCCCTGGAAGGTTCACTTAACAGCTGTATCAGGAAGTTATCTTCCATACATTCCAGAAACCTGGACTTCTCCCTTTCTGCTTTGTTGTACTTCCAGCAGACATCTGGTAAGTTGAAGTCCCCCACAGGAACAAGGGCTAGTGAATGTGAGACATCTCCAAGTTGTTGAAAGAATTGAGTGTCTTTATCCTGGTTGGGTGGTCTGTAGCAGACTCCCACTAGGATATCAGCCTCATTGGCCTTCCCCTTTATCCTTACCCATATACATTCTGCCTTGCTGTGTCTTAACATTGAATTCTAGGCAGCCAAAGCACTTCTTAACATACAACACCACCCCACCACCTCTCGTCTTGCCTGTCCCTTCTAAAGAGCCTGTAGCCATCCACTCCAGCACTCCAACCATGCGAAGCATGGCACCATGTTTCCATGTTGGCAATTATATCCTGGTCTCCTTGGTGCACAGTAGCTTCTAACTCCTGTTGTTTATTTCACATGCTTTGGGTGTTGGCATATACACACTTGAGCCGTGGTACAGATATCTGGACCAATTGTGTGGTTACTAACCTACTAGTGAGCCCTATGTTTTTGTTCCCACATTTATTTCCATTTCCCACCTTGGGTGCGATGGCAGACTGGTGGCTGTCCTTAGGCTCATCTCTGGTGAGCCTGGTTTCATCCCCATCCCCATTCAGACTTAGTTTAGAGCCCTTTTGATGAGCTCTGCCAGCTCGTGCCTGAGGGTCCTTCTCCCCCTTCGGGTTAGGCTTCCCCACCTGTTGCCATGCCTGGTGTTCTCTTGGTCCATCCATGATGAAAAAAGCCAAAGTCTTATCTGCTGCACCAGTCCCAGAGCCAGGAGTTAATCTTCTGGCTCTTCTTGTTTATCCCCTCGTGAATCCCTGCTGCTGGTGGAATAGAGGAGACCACCTGTGCTGCCAAGCCCCTAACAGCTGTCCCAGGGCCCTGAAGTCTCTCTTCATTGCTCCTAGATTTCTGGTAGCTACCTCATCACTGCATATTTGGAATAACAGTAACGGGCAGTAGTCTAAGGGCCGAACAAGGGTGGGCAGCTCCCTCCGTATATCCGTAACCCTGGCTGCAGGGAGGCAGCTGAGCCTCCAAGAAGTGGGTCTGGCCTGCATATAGGGCCTTTGACTCCCTTTAGAAGTGAGTCACCTTGCTTATTTTCTTTGCTGCTTAAAACTAGAGTATAATAAGCTCATATTTATAACTAAACGCATTGTCTTGTTTTTTGTATTACCTTGAAATACAGAGTAAAATAAGTCTACTCTTTCTGTTGGCATCTGAGTCCTTTTTGTTGACCTCATGAACTGGCAAAACAGCAGAAATGAAGAGACTGGGTATTTTAAAGGACTAGACCTTTAATTTGTATTGTGTTTGTGATTTATTACGCTTGTGTAGTTTAAATGTATGTATTTTTAAAGAAAAAAATATTAAAAAAATATTTTTGTTCCATATATACCCATTTGTTTCATGACAGAGGTGGTTTTGAGATGGTAATCCATGTTAAAAAACGATCCTCACTGTATGCGACTAAAACTTGCTAGTCATTTTAATATAAGTGATTGGCATGATTTGTTTTAGGCATTGTAAATGTTATTGAATCAATAATAAAGATAATGAAAAATAATAAAAAACATGCTATGCTTAAATGAACTTTGTGAAATCCAAGGTGCCTATCTGTTTTAAGTTCCTGCTGGTGCATCTCTGGCACATCAATCTATTCTATCTAACCCCTTTTTCAAAGAGCAATAGTATGATGACAACTGCATGGCACAATTTCACTTCAGTGAATGTTTAGAAGTTTGAGCTCACTATCTGATAATTGTAATAAGGGAGCACTAAAACTTATAAGGAATACTCATGTTTTTTGAAAACATTCATATTTTGCAGCTTATGTAGTGCCAAGTGTGAGTCACAGTTACTACAAAATTGCAATGAATCAGAACTGGAGACTGCTGAAGATTTGAGAAGAAAACTCCGTCAAGCTAAAAAAGAAAAATTAGACTTAATAATTAAACACAATCATCAAGTAAGGACTATTTTATTTACTTCATTTTACTCCTGGGATAAATGTGATCTCATTTCATTAAAATAATACTCTCGAATGGTGTATCAAAAGCATAATCATTAGCTGAAAAAAAAAAACAAGCAAGGTGGCACTGTACAGATTTTCATACCTGTTCATAGGAACTCTTAGCATCTCTGCTGGCATTATTTATAGTTAAACTTGCACACAGAATTACCAAGGTTGGAAAAGACTTATAAGATCATCAAGTCCAGCCTATGACCTAACACCACCACATCAGCTAGACCATGGCGCTGAGTGCCACATCCAGCCTTTCCTTGGAACACATCCAGGGATGCTGCCTCCACCACTTCCCTGGGAAGTGCATTCCTATGTCTAATCACCCTCTCTGTGAGGAAGTACTTCCTAATATCCAACCTAAACCTCCCCTGGGGCCGCTTGAGGCTGTGCCCTCTTATCTTGTTGCTAGTTGCCTGGGAAAAGAGCCCAGCCCCCACCTGCCTACAGCCTCCCTTCAGGTAGTTGAAGACAGTGATAAGGTCCCCCCTGAGTTTCCCCTTCTCCAGGCTAAACAACCCCAGCTCTCTCAACCTGTCCCTATAAGACTTTCCCTCTAGTCCCTTCACCAGCCTTGTTGCTCTTCTCTGGACCTGCTCCAGCACTTCAATATTCTTCTTGAAGTGAGGGGCCCAGAATTGTACACAGTACTCCAGGTGAGGCCTCAGCAGTGCTGTGTACAGGGGGCACCAAATTTTTCTTCAGGGGATGAAGTCTCTGTCATGACCAGTAGTTTGTTAGGTAAAATTGCCTGGTGACACAAATAAATAAAAGTCATAGTTTGAATCTAGCCTCTTATGTACTTTTTTTTTCAGGGTGTTAGAGTATAATTTTAATTCTGAAATTTGTAAACCTAGCACACTGTTTCTGTGTATGTGCATATGAAATCCAGCTGAGGTATCCTTTAGTGATCTTGCAGTGTCTCAGCTTGTGCAAATTTGCAATTTTTAATAACTGTAACAATGTATAATGTACAAATAGGGTGATGCATTTGTCTGTAACTTCATACATGTTAATATGAACTTCATTCATAGGGAAATAATTTACTCACATTATGAAGGTTTTCTCTGATGCTGTTGTAGAAACTAGCATTGAAATGAAATAGTTGTAAGAAAGTACTTAATATTTCCTTTAGCTTGAATACTTGAATATCAGTTTTCACAGTAGTATATATAGGAAAAGTAGGCACTGAATCCAGCAGTAGTTTTAAGTGGCTTCAAATTTGTTGCTACTAGGAAGAATTCCTATGCTTGCTATTGCCAATTTGGCAGCTGATATCCTGGTTTAAACTCTGCTGGTGCAGAAGTGTTACTACTGCTACTACTAGAGGTAACAATTCTGCTCTTGGCAGTTTGCTAGGGCAGTTGATGTGGCTACTTGTTCATCTGTTTTGAGCTAATTCCATATCCAATTAATCAAGTTTGCATTCCATATCCATTTATTACTGGGTTGTACACCCAAATTAAGAGATTCCTGCTTCTCACACAGTGACTTGCTCTTGTGCTGGAGTTAATCAGTTTTATTTTCCATTGTCCCATCAGGTGTGGGGGCATTCTATAAAGTTGATACCTGGAATTATTTGTATTTTTAAAAAACCCCAAACAAACCACTTGTTACATTGAGATTTTGAAAGCTGGGTGTGCAAAAGGATCTTCAGTGTAATTTTGCTCTTGTGGTTTGCACCACAAAGTCATGTTGCTTTTTAGGTAGATAAACTCCTTGAGGTTTTTTTCCCCTATTCATTTACTGGTAGTTTCAGATAATGGAAGTGCGGAGATGTTTTTGAAGTCAATGGGCTACTTTGTAGAAGTTCTGAAGAGATACATACTTTACTTTCAACCTCCTTGTGTTGAAATAGCTTGAAACTGATTTTCTGCATCCAGTTTTTGGTAGCAATGACTAGGCTATGTTTCTTAATCTGGGTAAGATAAATTTTTGAAGTGTTTTACATTCTTTGTTAGTTGTCTGTTAAATTTAATAGCATTCTGTTTGACTTCTGAACATTATCGGACTGAATTTTAAGTCCATACATATATTTGTGAGTTATTACATGTCTGATAGTCTAGCATCCCAACTTTACTATTTTTCCAAGTGTTAAATGTAACGAAAGTCAGTTGCTGCACTTCTTCATTTGAGGTGCACATTGAAGACAACAGCATTATGACTTCTATTTTCTCAAGGTAGTGTCTTTTTGAAGAAATGGAGCTGTATGTTTAAGGTACATTAAATTAATGTAGGAATAGGAACAGTTTGCATAGAGAACAGTAAAAGTACTCAAAATCTGCTTAAATGTGCGTTTGCAAGGCCGTATTTAAAATTCCAGTGGAATTAGAATGCAGGTGTGAGTGCAATTCAAAGTGCAATTCATTGAAAATATTCTGTAGATGTATTTCTGTAATGTATTTTTTCAAAGGAGCGTTTTTGCCAGTTTTCTGAAACAAATTTGTTTTCTAGCTGTCCAGCTACGAAAGCCAGATTGTCAAATTACGGTTGGAATGTGAGAAAGGAGTCGTTGTTCGACAAAGTCTGGAGTATGATTTAGAAATTGCCAGGAGAGATGCTCGCCTGGAAATGTGTTCTGCAAAAGAGGAGCTAAGTGATGCAAAACACAAACTTGTAGAACTGCAAGGTAATTTTCAAAAAAGCAAACATGGAGCAAGGCTAAGTCGGTTTCAATTCAGGAAGAAAAGTGAGAAGCAGTTTTCTTCATGCTGTTTTTCCTGGGTGTCTCCCATCTTTCCTATCTCTTATCAATCTGCTTTTACAAACTCAGAAGAATTTACAAAACTCTTGCTGTTTTGTGTGAATTAAAACTAACTTGCTAAACCTGTCAACGCTTCTTCCTCTTGCCCCTTACCTTCTGTTGTTCCTTTTTCACTGCTGTCCCTATACAGAAGGTATACAGTCTATACCTATACAGTCATGGTGCCTCTCTCTGCATCCTGGTTATCACTATGTGCAGCAGTTCTTCCTCTTCCATTCCAAGGGAAAAAAAAACAACAAAAAAACCTTAAAAGTCCATTCTGCTTCTTTCTTTCATCTTTTCAAAGGTTTCAAGCTTTTAATTGCTAGGTCCAGTTTTTTTTTTCTTCTCATCAAACTTGTTTCTGTTTTTATAGGTAATGGAACATGTACATTGTTACAGTAGTATGTGGAAGGGAAGGTTTTTACCTAGATATATTTTTCCCTATGAATTGTATATTCAGAAACTCAGATTTTCTTGATCCTTCTCAACAGAGCTTTCTTATTCTTTCAAGTGAGGTTCATGCTAAGTTAGTATAATACCTTTTTAATCTAGTACAGGAAGTGCATTTGTGAGTTTTCTTAATTTTCAATATTCCATCAAGAATATAAAGCACTCCTCATGGAGATATTGCTCTTTCAAGAATGGAAGGAGACTTGGAAACTTCTAAGTAGTTAAAGTACCAGGTGTTTTTAAGATAACTAAAAAGCTGAACTTTTCACTCCTTTGGAGAACACAAAAAATACATACAAATTTATGGATTGCAAGCAGGAAGAAGGCATTGTTTTTTTGTCTTTGGAAATTAACCTTGTGATTGCAAGCTGAAGACTTGAACTGCTAGTTTCTCACTTAAAGAAATGTTATATTACTTTCTGTGAATGCTCACTTTACTGCTAGTCTGCTTGCCAATTCAGGTGTAGTGTGTATGTGTATTTTACAATACTTTACATCTCATTTTGTGATTCCCTTTATGATTTGGAAAACTCGTCGTCTGCTGTATCAATTGCAGGTGGTGGTGGTGGGTGCAGCTCTGCAGGGGAACTTGTGTGGGAGGAAGGAGGTCTGGGTTTGGTTGAAGCTGATCCTGTCCAGCTTCACAGTGGCCAAGCCTAGGCACTAGCATGCAAGGCACCTCTGCCAAAACATGTTTCAGAATGGGTAATAAATGCTGAGAGGAAGAAAGAGAAGACGACAAAAAAAAGAAATGCCAGGAGGGACGGGAGCAGAACAGCAGCCAGAGCAGGGACTGGGGCTGAAGCTGAAGTAGTGACTGCCCATGCAGGCACCAAGAGGCAGGACTCAAAATAGGCTACTGCTGATGGAGAATCTACAGCACAATGACCTAATGTAATGTGCAGTGCCACCTTTCGCCTCCCTGAAGGGACTAGGCTAATGTGTGGTGAGGAGAGTGGAGAACAGAAAGGGGATAGGCAAGTTTTTGCTGAGGCAACAGATGTTTTCCTAAATGTGTGTGTATGGTGTTAGTTTCTTTCCATACCAGAATCGGTAATTAGAAGTCTGTTAACTGACAGTAAATTACATTAGTTGAAATTGTTCAAGCAATTTTTTTTTTTTTTTCCTGTGAGAGGTTCCAAAAAAGTCAAATCATCATGGTGTTGCTCCCAAATCTTTGGCAGTTTATAACTTACCGCTTGTTTTCCCTAGTCACTTGGAGACTTCCTCACTTAGTCCTTGCTGTGACCCCAGCTTAGCTCCTCAGATAGAAGGCCTCGTTTCTGGCTTGTCCTCCTCCATATTTCCTCTAAATTATTTTTCTGCTGTTATCAGTGATGCTTGATTTTCTGCTCTCTGACAGTTCTCTCCCATCTTTGTGTCCACTGATTCTCTTTCATCTTAATGTATCTCTTCTCTTCATATTATGCTTTTCTGACTGGCAGGAAGTTTCAGAAAAGTGGGATGAATTTGAAATAAAAATCTGTTAGAAAATGGTGTTCACTTAAATGCCAATGTAGCTAGTTGTATTCAGCAAAATGAAAAGCAGATACAAAGTAATTTCATATGAAAATGAAAAATTTCAGATGTTTTTAAAATTAAGTGAAGTTCCTAGTCAAACTGATTAAATACGTAGGCATAGGTAGTGAAGTTTTCCATAGCATTTAAGCTTTTGCAGAAGAGTATATACAGTGTTCCCCTATCTCAGGACATCTGCTGGGCTGGCAATTAAAATCTCTTGAGAAGCAGTAAATTTCCTTGGAAAAACTAAACCTTTGCTTGCTAGCCCAACCTGTCTTAGGTTTTTCCTATAGTCCCTTTCATGGGGCAGGTGCCTATTTTTAGTGTAACTTAAATGGAGCTTAGAATTATTTGATACAGGAGGATATCTGTATCAAGTAGGCAATTGGAAATGAACTGGCCAGATGTTGTAGAAATCTGAAATAAAGTGTCCATGCTATACCGGTCTCACTTGAAAGAGTTATCACAAGTTTTTATTCTTTTCCAAGATAATAGTTTTAATTTATAAAAATATCAAGCATTTTTAAGTCATTTTGTGAAAGATGCTGTAGAAGCACAAAATTTGATTGATTGTTGCTTTGGAGTGAATCTGGTGCTGTCTGGTGGTGGAGGTGTTAATGTTCCAGTGTTCCACAGGATATCACAATACACAGAAGAACTGACAATCATCACACATTTTTTTACTGAACACGCTTTGCAGTGCTTACTTGTCTTCTTTCCTTCTGTTTTTCTGTAAACAATAGTATTAAATGAGGAACTTCAGCAGAAAGTGACGGAGACTGAGAAAACATTTCATATTGCTCAGCAGAAGTGGAAGGAACAGCAGCAAAGACTTGCAAGTGAGAAGGATTGTATCCGCAGAACTTTGAAGAGTGAAAATGAATTGCTTCTTAAGGAAAGAACCAACTTAGCAAGTGTTTTGCAGGTATGATGTATTAATAGTTGGAAAGTTGCATGAAATGATGACTAGAACTTTTTTGGTGCAGTGTGTGGTGGGTTAGGGTTTTTCTGGTTTAGGGAAAAATCCCCCGAATAGCTAAATACTGCAGAATATTTCTGAAGGATACAGCTTTACAAAGGCACACAGACTGTGTCACAGTCTTTCTTGCTTTGATAGAATGAGTTGTGGCTGATTTTCATAAACACCTAAATCAAGCTACTGGAGCACAGTGCTAGTTAGGCCCATTTGCACTGTTGTGCAAAGCTTGGTCAGTAAAATCAGGGACACCCAACACCTAACTTCTGACTCAATTTCCTTCTTGCGTCTCCCAGTTTGACATGCAATAGCCTGTGAGCATTAAAATAATTTGTATAACATGGAGTCTACACACTGTCTGGGAACACAGACAGTGACGGAATTTCCAGTTATGCGTGGTACATTATTCACTCCATGCCACATATGAAAAATGACGGGTTTTGGAAATTTTGCTGATTGGTTAGAAAAAAAAGCATTTAATACTGACAGATGGACTTATAATCTGTTATAGACTGTGGGGTTTTATTCTTTAGATAATTACTTTCATTGTATTTAATAAATAAAGTAATTGTCGAGGTTGAGTTGTGCTGATATGAATAAATCCCTTAGATGTTAAATATGTAAGAAATAATAAAAATGTGAATTTTTTACACTGTTTTATACAGTAAAGCCATTCTAAATTGAATTATGTTCCAAAGAAATCTAGTAGTATTACGATGCAGAAGTGCTGAGTTAACATACCCAACTTTTACCTTCTCCACGGGGACACAAACAATTACACAACTATAATTTAATAATTCTAATATTTTTAATTGACAGTTGAATTACCTTATATCTTAGGAATGCAATTATACCATCTGAGGAAAATCAAGAATGCTGTAGTTATCCTTTATGATTTTAAAGAAGTGTAGTGCAGAGGCTCTGTTGAGACTGATAGCCTTTTACTCAAGTGCATGATGTGTGCAGAGAACAGATTACTTCTGTGAGATTCACTTTCTTTTATTCAGTGGGCCTTTTTCTCAATATATTCTTATTTTCCTTTTTTATAGTCCCCTTTAAGCTGTGACAGACGTATCTCAGTTGATCTGGGCATTGGTCAAGCAGTGGAATATTAGTCCTGCTTTCTTTTCATCTAGTTGGCTCCAAGCCTGGGACAGTGCCAAACAGACTTCCCAAATGACACAAACCAATCCTTGCCTGGCAGCTAGTTAGACCAGTTCCAACAGCAAACCTACCTGTTTTACCACGTTGTGGTGCTGTTGGTCAGATTCTATGCAGCACCTGCAGGAGCATCAATTATTTAAAAAAAAAAAAAAAAAAAAAAAAA